CTCTTCTCCCGTGGGCAGGGCTTCACCCACTGCCTCACTGGCTCCCCTCCAGTGCAACCACCTTTTTCCACTAATGCTTCTCTGGAATGGACAGTTGAGGCTTTATCCGTGTTAACCACGTGCAAAGACTTCTCCTGGCACCTCTGCCTTTAACCTGACATGAAGACAAAAGGATCCAGTGGAAGAAGAGGAACCCCTGCCACCCTGGACTTGGCTGCCTGACGGTTCAGGGTTGAGCAGAGCGTGGGGTCAGAATCCTCCAGGGCCCTTCAGTTCAACAAGGCAAAACCCCCCCTTGCTAGTTTGCTATTGTTTTCTGGCACAGTGCATTTTTATTACCTTTGGAAGCTGGAATGTTCCCTGGCTCTAATAAAAATGTCTGTTCCTTGGAAAGGCAGTAAAGGCTTTGCACATATTTAAAGGGCATTGGCTTCCCTTTAAACGGCTCCGTGAGTGACACTGAAAGCAAACAGGCAGTGGAGTCACAGGGCTGTTGCTGTGCTGTGGTGCCTTTTCCATGCAGAATATGTTCTTTGCTCCTTCTTGTTTGGTTTTGTCCCTTTGAATCCAATTCTCATTGCTTTGGATTAAAACTAACCCAAACCACAGACCGGTTCAGGACTCAAGGCAAAATATCCTCCGCAGGGAGATTTCCAGTCCAAAGTGTGAAAGATGAGGTGGAATTAACAGGGAAAGATGCTTTCTTTTTCCAAAGGAATTAAGGTGCAATAGCTCATATGGTGGAGGTTTTCTGCACTGTAAGTTCTTGGAATAAAGATTGGTTTTTGAAAGAATAATGAGTTTCTCTCGTGATACTTTGACTTTGGGAGCTGATGTTTCAAGGCAAGTACCAAGTAACACGCCAAAAATCCAGACCTCTTCTGATAATTGTGGATGTAACATAATTCCTCTTGCACTCCAGTTTCTAATACTCTTCTAGATGATGAGTTTGACCCTAGAACCTCGTCAAAAAGACAAGGTTTATGCTTATTTTGCTCCCTTGTTCCCATTCTCCTGTGTCATGGCCATGCCCACAGTTTGCTCAGTGCTTGTCCCCGAGGTCTGCCAGGGCTGTGAGAGCACCAAGGGTTCTCAAGATCCCTTATCTCCACTTTTAGGCACAGCACTGAGATGACTCAAAGCACATCCTTAGGCCCTGGGGAAGAGAATGGAGAGCTGAGCCAACAGGGAGAGAGTGAGACGAAAAATAATTCCAACAAAATATCCCGAAAAATGGTCCCATCGGCTTCCTGGGGCAGCTCTAATGAATCCTAATTAGAAACTGTCTCTCCTCATTATGGGAAGGAAGAAATTGTTCAGCTTTCCCACCTCTCAACCTTGGAGACACAGGGATGAGGAATGTCCCTAGGAATGGTTTAATTTAGAGCGTTTTCGCTCCTGTAAGAAATTCTTTGGGAATTTCTGTGTGGGGAAAGGGCAGGCACCTCCAGGAGTGCTGGCAGGTTCTTCTAGTGCTCTAAATTCATGCACATACAGATGCCCACTTGAGAACACTTTATCTTTCAAACATTTGTGCCTGCCATTTCTCATTCTCTGGACTCCTGCCTCAAACTCCTCTCCTGCTCAGCCTATTCCCTCCCACATTTATGCACTGGATTCCCACAGTGGATCTCCCTAGAATGCACATCCAAGCCCCATCAGGTCTGTAGGGTGACAGTGTCCTGCTCGGCCTGTTTCCAAGGGTTGTGGATATTGCCAATTTGATCAGCAGGTTTACAAAACACTGCTGTGAAACTGCAACCCCGAAACAATCCAGCCTCCCCTCTGCCTCCTGCTAGCACATTCCTTACATCCATCTTTTCCAGACACATGGTTTCTTGACAGCATTTACATAACCTGGCTGAAAACACTCCCCCAGCCGATTAAATGCCTGCTATGAAATCCAAAGCTCCCATTAAAAGGATGGAGCTCTCCAGGACTGCAATACTTGCACAGATGGTTAATACTCATGGTTTGTTCTACGAGGGGAAAGAGTGGCATTTTTCTTTACAAGCACGTACAGTCAGAGCTTTCCCATGGGAATTGCTTGTTCTGCTCAGATTATTATTTTAAAGCTGTCATCAGATGTGATCACCCACTGGATTAGAGGGAGCAAAAGGAGATGATCAGATAATCTCCCGAGGCACAAAGCATTTTGAGTTGGATTTGAAGGGAGCTCTCTCACCTATGGCCCATTTGTTTAGCTCAGGGTTCTCCCTCCTCTGTATCTTCCTAAAAAATGCTCGTGCCTGGTGGCAGTAGACCTGTGGAGATGTGGGATGTTGTAGCAATTTGCACAAAGAAGAATCCTCTGAATCACACAAATACTGGCAAAGCATGAGCAAGAAGCAAAGCCTTTGGCTTTAACCACGGCTGTACAATTCATCTGGCCCTAGAGCTGGTGCAGAAAGACAGAATTAAATCTATAACTGCCTTTATTGCAGTGTAGAAAAGTGCTTGATCCCAGAAATTCTGTCAATCAAATCTTTCTCAGATAAACATTCTCTAATTCAGGATTTTAACCTTTTCCAGACTCCTCTCTGTCAAAGCCTCAGAAATTCCCAGTGTTTTTCAGGCAGGAACCAACACATCAGGAACTAATTAATGAGAGCAGGAAAAAAAAAAAAAAAAGAAGAAGAAGAATGTGCTGAATAGAGGCAAAACTGAGACTCAAAGCCCTCAGCCCATGGGCTGCCTGCTCAGTCCTCAGGATGCAGACAAAAGACATTCCAGCTCCTGACAAACAGCCTGAAGAGATGCTGGAGCATCCAACAACCCCCCCAGGACTTTTGTGTAAAGACACAGTGGGACAGGAAGACTGGCAGATACAGGGTAGGTGGAGTGTCTGGAACTGAGAGATGTGAATCAGGTTATCCCTGGTCCTACATGCAGGTGATCCACGGGGGACAAAATCCCCATGGAACATCCCATCAGTGCTATTCTGAAAGAAAGGGCTAAGCAGTAACCCTGAAATAATCAGTCAATTCATTAAGGAAAGTCTGCAATGTTTTCTGGGAGCTGTACCCAGAGCCAGGACCACCAGCCAGATCATCCCATCTCCAGCAGGCTGAGTCTCACCCGGGGTCTGGTAGACACCTCAAATCCACTTCAAAGACGTCAGGGGAAAAACCCTCACCATAAAAAAGTTACTCTGGATAAATCATAACCTTACAGGAACTGCTGTGCCTCAGGTTTCCCATCGACACATTAGGGTGCCAGAAATGCCACTCAGCTGATTCCCTGCAGTGCTGTAAAGCTCATTTGATTGCCATTTATAAAACTACACGTGATTCTTAGAGGGGAATTGCTGATGAAGAATTGTTATGATTGTTGCTTATTCCCCAGATGCCCGAAATATGGAACTTGGCAGGATTCCGGGGGAGAAATCCTTGTGAGCTGAGAGGTGAGCCAACCTAACAGACTGTTGGTGCAGGCAGGAGTCATTATAAACACGGAGGTCTTAACCAGACCTGAGCTCAGAGCATGGGCAAGGCTTTGGTTGTGCCATGAAGTGCAGAATCATGGAATGGTTTGGATTGGAAGGGACCTTCTAGTCACCTTGTGCATCACACACCTTGATAAAGTAGGTTTTGGGTTCTCCCAGGAGAGAACAGCCCACTTTAAAGGCAGGTGCTTGGGAGAGGCTCAGCTGCCAGGAACATGAAGATTCCTCCCAGACAGAAGGTGCCAGCACAAAAACCCTATCCATGGAGTGCCAACAGTGGCCCAACAACTGCACATGAGGCTTTCTTTCCTGGGTGAAACCTCCCAATTCCAGCGCAGTGCTCCTGCAAGCAAACAACTGCCCTTCCACCCATAAAAGAAAGCTCTGACCCTCCATCTCTCAAGTGCAGTTGGTGAGCCACTCTTGGCACTCCCTGGGCAGCTTGAGCTTCCTGTGCTGGCACCTTTTGTCTCGGAGGAATCTCCTGCAGTTGTTCACTTGCAGGAGCCCTGAGCTTAAATTGGCATTCTGCTCCCCAAAATTCAATGCTGACCTTGGAATACCCCATCCCTGGAGGTGTCCAAGGCCGGGCTGGTTGGGGCTTGGAGCAACCTGGGATAGTTGAAGGTGTCCCAAGGGGTAGAACAGGGTGAGTTCTAAGGTCCCTTCCGACTCAAAGCATTCTGTGACTGTAAGAAAAAGCCACTCACCCCCTTCTCCTCATGCTGTTCTCATGCCTTTATCAGCTCGTATTTTAGCGAGAAGAAACCGCAGCTCTTAAAACCCTGCGGGTCTTAAAGTACTCACGTGAGGATGCCCTCCCGTGTCCCTCACCCACCTCCCGTTCCCAACAGGTACCAGCAGTGGGTGTGGCCGCTCCTTTGGATCAGGGAGGGGAATACACGCCCGTGGGAGAGGTCGGGGGCTCAAGGCTGGGCTGGGGGCGGCGATGCCGCTTCCTCCGCGCAGGAAGGCGAGTGGGACCCCCCTGCACCACCAGGGCAGGGGCTGCGGGTCCCCCATGGGTGTCCCTGGGTGTCCCCAGGGCCTCGGGGCGCTGCGGTCCTCCCCGGTCCCCCCCCGGCCCCTCCCGCCTCGGAGGGCGGACTCGCCGCCGCCGCAGCCCGGATGCCACCGCCGCCGCTTTCCTGGCCCTGCTCCCGGCTCTCGGTGCCGCCGCTTCCTCCCGGGAGCCGCGGGGAGGGGGCCCAAGGGCTTCTCCTCCCGCCGGGTTATTTTTTCCGGCCGCTGCTCCAGCGGGGGAGGTGGGAAGAACCAAAGGCGGCGGTACCCCCTTCCCGCCCCCCCGGCCGCTGCAGCACATGGGAAGCAAAAGTTTTCCTCCTCCTCCCGCCGCTCCTCCTGCCTCTTCTGCTCCTGCTCTCTCCCCTCCGCCGGCTGCCCTCGCCCCGCAGCCCCCCCGGGTCGCCCCCCGGTCCCCGCATCCCGAGGATGCTCCCGCGGCCGCTCCGCTCGGACCCCGGCCGGGAGCTGCGCCGCTCCGAGATGGACAGCCGGGAATAGAGCGCGGCTGGAGCCTCTCCCGCTGCTCGAATCGCGTCTTCCAGAGGGATCTGCGAATTTGCGGAGGAAAGGGGCTGTTGGGCAAATTTAATCAGATGGTTTAGCAGCGCCGGCGAGGCAGCGCCGCATCGCTGTGCTCCGGCCCCACCATGGGCACCGGCATGTGCTCCAGGAGGCAGAAGGGGCTCCTGCAGACCGCCTTCTGCCTGGTCACCGTGGCGTGCCTGGGCTCCGGAGTTTTCCTCTACAACCACTTGCAGCAGAAGGTGCGGAACGCAGAAGCCCTGGCCCAGAAATACAAACAGCAGCAGGAAGCGCTGTCAGCGCAGCTCCAAGGTGAGTGACCTGCCCTGTGTGTGTCTGTGTGTGCACACTCTGCCTGAACTTCCCTCGCTCCCCTCGTTACCTGCCGCTGGCTTTGCTGCCCAGCCACAAGCGAGGTGCCTTGGGCATGTTCAGCCTTTGGCTTTGGAGAGCTCTGAGATGTTGTGCCCGTTTCCTTCCCCCCGTGGCTGTCTGGAATTGGAACAGCCGTGAGTCCGAATCGCTGCTCGCAGCGAGGGGAGCGGAGCGTGTCGGATGGGCGAGTTCAGCTGCGTCACGCCTATTCCATTTCTTCTCCCTTTGGCTGTAAAAATTAAACCTCTGTGAAGCAGCACCAGCGCAGACAGGGCTCGGAGGGGCTGGCTGGGCAGGCTCCGAGATGTGGCTCCACTCTCTACCCTGTGTCTGTCCGGGAAGTGAAGGGAGAGGGAAGGGATGCTTCAGTAAAGTTTGTTGTCACACTGTGCTGCCCATTGCAGGGAAACAAGCCCACCTTCCTCTCAAGAGGCTGATCCGTGACTAGAAAGGTCTTGCTGGCATGCTTGGGGCTGATGGATGCCGCGGCACACAGCTCCCTATAGAGGGGGGAGAAGGAGGAGGAGGAGTAAGAATTGGCTTTTCTGAGCCCGCTGACCAGCACTGGGCTCCTCTGGCAGGAGCTGCCGGGGACCGGAAGGCGAACACAGTGTGTGTATTCCTCCTCCCCCTTTCTCCCCTCAGTTGTCCTCCTTCCATAAATGCCTAACTGTGGGAAAATGGCACTTTAGCCCACGGGGAGGTGTCGGCAGGGAAGGCTGAGGACACACGTTACTCCATCCCTGAACTCTTACCTCCTTTGTCTAGTCTGTCATCCCAGCCTTAGTGCATCTGCCAGAGCGACGTTTCCAGCAGCTGTCACTAGATTTGGAGTCTCCAGAGGGATTTGCTGAGCTGCCTGTGGAGAGGTTTGGTGGGAATCCACCCTGGGGAGCCAGCAGTTGGGTGTGCAGTGCTGGAGGACGGGTCGGGTCTGGGTGCCCACAGAATGAATTTTATGTGGACAAAATATTGTTTGCTGTGGTTCCACTCAAGGTCAGGAGATGCACTTAACCCTTTTTTTTTTTCTCTAACAAGTCGGTTTAGATCGCAGTGTTTATGTTAGAGCTCTTCCTCAGGCTTAAATCAAATACAGAGTATCCATCGTGACCTCTGTGGACCCATCCAGCGATACTGTTTCCAGAGCCTGTAGTGCTGAGGAATTCCGCACATCTGTGACTCGATATTTATGTCTTTTAGGGTTAAATCTCCTCTGGTGGTTCTGTGTGCAGTGTTGCAATGCAAATGTGACATCCTCCAAGGGCTGCTGGAGCCCAGGGCTGTGTATTTCTGTTTGTAAACAGCCAGAGCAGAGTGTGGTGTGTTCCTCTCCAGGAAACACGCTTTAGAAAACCAATCAGTCTTGGAAAGGGATCTGATGTGTGTTTTGTTTCACTGCTATTATAGCTTGTTTCCATTCCTTCTATCAGGCAGTCAAACACTTCACGTGTTGCTCAGTCCCAGCCACGATTTCCACCTGCATCCTGGGTTTGGGAGCTGCAAAGATCAGCAGGGTAGAAGTTAACCCACATTCCTTTCTGTTGTGTCAGCATCTCATGCTCCTCTTGGAGAGAGGGGCTGGTTCTTCAGAGAATAAGATGACAGTGGTAGCCTCAGGGAACCCCAGTTTTGGCAACAACAGGCTCAAGTCAACAGCTGAGCCAGGCTTATATTTTTTCCACCCAAATATGCCTGAATGGCAGAGCTGTAGCCTGTTGCTGGGGTTTCTGTCCCCCCTCCTATTCCTAAATACAGTTGTTGCCATGGCTACCCTTTTTTATTTTGAGAAGACACTTGCTCGTCCAACAAATTTAACAAAGGCAAGGCTTCTTTTTGGATTTGGCTGGTGGGAGAATCCTGATGGCTGGCAGAGAGGAGCCAGTTCGTGGAAGGTTTGCAGTGCAGGGCTGTCTGGCTCATCTGGCCATGGCTCTGGTGTCTGTGCTCTCCCTGTAGCTCTGTGGTGCTGGGCACAGCAGAGCTGGGGCTCTGGGCTCCCTCCCTGCCCTGGGCTCATTTGTTGCATGACTTTACAATTCCTGTGCCTTGGTTTTAATTCCTGTGTCTTCTGCACCTCATTCTGTCTTTTCAGCAAGGCACTGCCAGGAACTTCATTGTTTCAGCACCTCAAATCCTGCGTTCTGGCTCATTTGGCAGCAGGTGACTGTTCCTTAGTACCGAGCTCTGGCTGAATCCCAGGATTTAGATCCTCACCACCCTCCATTCTCCCTTACAATAGCAAATTGTTAAAGACTTCCTGGCTCCCTGGCCTGCAAAGCTGTAAAGTGCCAGGTTGGTTGGATGAGTTGCTATGTTCCAGCACGAAGATAAGTATATAATAGAGAATCACAGAATTATAGAATATCCTGAGTTGGAAAGGACCCACAGGGATCATCAAAGTCCAGCTCCTGGCCCTGAGAGCAGAGACACCACTGTGTGCAGTGCTCTCTGCAGAGCTGGACCCCCCTGCTCTGGGCTCTGGACACCTGGAGGAATGGCAGGAGAGATTACAACTTTCTTTTCCAGTCACTGGGGGTCACTTCAGTTTATTTGACTTATGGAAAAAAAAAAAAAAGAAAAAAGGGTCAGGAGAGCCAGATTTTGTGTTCTAAAATTCTGAACAAACAGACCATGATGTGGAGCTGTTACTGAAGCCTCCTCTGCTCCGGGATGGAGCATTAGGATCTGTGGCTGTTTGCACGAGCCCATTGCTACAGATGCTTTTCATTGCTGGTATGAGGTTCCCATCACATCAAAGACTTGCCCTCAGGAGGCTCTGCTACATAGGACTGCAAGGAAGTGAGATGCTTCTGGCAGAAACATGAGTGCCCAGAGCTCCCAGATCCTTGGGGAAGTGGCTGATGTTCTCAAGGTGACAATTTCCTTGAACAAGTCGTGAAGGAGCATCCAGGGTGTGCTCAGCTGGGGAAGCCCTCAGGGTGACATCTGAGTAGTCTGTTGGGAAAAGTGTTTCTAAAAATAAAGCTGTCATGAAGGAGACACTTGGACAGCTGCAGTGATGGCTTTAGCAGCGGTGCTCTGCAAGGGAAACCTCCCTCCAGATGGAAACCATGTATTTCTGCTGTAATGGTTTGAAGAATGTGGGAGTCTCCTCGCTCCAGAGGAAAATCTTAAGGCAGTGGCCCAGTCCAAGGGAAGCACCTTCACCATTGGGGTCTGCCTGTGTTGTCTGAGGACGGTAACAAAGAGAAGGAAGGAGATAAAGTGGCTGGTGACAGTGGGAATTCCAGACCTAGGGCACTGGTCCTTCCTGCTCCCTGTGGGAGCACGAAGTGATAGAGGATTTAGGTGACCTTTCCTGCTCCATTATGGCCCAAGTGGAGCTGGCAGGCTCTATAGATCCACTGGGAGTGAGAGCACGAGTCTCTTGGGACTCTTGCCTTGACAAGATTTCACCAAGGAATGGATTAGCACTTCTTTTATGCATAAAAACATCACTCCCCTTAGTTCATTTTCCTGGAGATCATGTGTTATGGCATGACTTGCCCCCAAAGGTCTTGGCTCTGGAGGGATCTTGGCTCTGGGAGCAGGTTTCTTTTATCACCTCTCCCCTCTGACTTGCTGCCCAGTGCTGTTCTGGCCCGGTGTCCATCTGTGCCAGGGGGATGAGGAGCCTGTTCCAGCTCAGGGAGAGCTCTTGGTTTGTATTCAGCCATCAGAGTGCATTAAAATCACCATCCATCAGGAAGCTTACGCGGTGCTTTGGTTTGTCACGTGGCTGCTGCACGAAGCAGCCTCATCCCTGTCCCTCTTCTGCTCCTGTGCACAGTGCAGGGGCTGTTTTGGGTGGGATGGGACAGGGAGCTGCCTGGCTCTCTTTTCCTCACTGGCATGAGGGCCAGTCAGTGGAATGGGAGAAAATGTCTCTCCTGCATGCAGCTCGTGACCTGGAAGGCTCTGGCTGCCTTAACCCTGGCTGGGCACTTGGTCCACAAAGACATAGTTTAGCCCTTGGCCACTAAAGTAGCTTTTGGGCATCACAACTTGGGCTCCAAAGTGAAACCTGAGAGCAAATACTCACAGGGCCAGGCCAGTGTGTTGTATCTGTTGTATCGTGAATATCCATGGTTTCCAGCCCAACTGTGCCCTCCCTGCTCCAGACAGGAGAGGAAATATGTGGGAGGAAAAAAAAGCATGTGTGAAGGACTGTGAGGTTTCTCACACTGTTGCCTCTCTCTGCTCCCCAGTGGTGTACGAGCACAGGTCCCGGCTGGAACGGTCCCTGCAGAAGGAGCGAGGGGAGCACAAGAAGACAAAGGAAGGTGAGTCCCTTGCAGGGGTGTCCCAGTAGTGGCCAGACAAGCCCCCAGCTGTCCTGGGGGAGAGGTGTGTGCTGTGCCCAAAGCCTTCCCTGCCTCAGGGCCGTGTGTGGCTGTCCCTGAGTGCCCCCAGGTGAGCTCAGCCCGGGTTTGTACCCGGGGAACAGTGAACTCACGTGTTTATTGTCCGTGGGCAGAAGGTGCTGGGAGGGAGGTTCTGTTCTCTCACACTCCCACTCATATCCTCAGTGCAATCTGTGAGTAACAGTGCCCAGGATGTGCTGTTTGAGCACTTTAAGTGGTGGCTAAACCTGGCACTGGACCATGCTTTTTTTCTTGGAAATATGTCAACTTTCCTCTAAAAGTGATTTGAAGATGCTGAGCTCTACAAGTGCTTAATGATATCAGCATCACTGCCCTCCATAACACATGGACAATGCAGACTGTCAGATCCTTTAGAGCTGATGTACATAAGTAGATATAAACGTGCAAGATATTTTAAGACCACGAAATCCAACACGAAACAGAAAGCCAACAGTTTAGCTGTTCAGTGGAGTGCTGTGCTTGGATGTCAGGCCCCTCTGCACCTGATTGTTGCTGGCAACTTAATAACTTGGCTTTTATGTTGAAAACTGGTGTGTGGAGTGCTCCTCACTCCAATGTGCTCTGGGTTTCTGGAAGTGCTGCCACTCAGCATCCAGGCTTGGCTGCATCACTGAGGGAGAAGCTGCATTTCTGCCACCTCTGATCTATTTGGTGGGGACTGACTGAGCAAATATATCCTAATATGTGTTATCTAGTCATGGGACCTGCCCATTTTAAGAAGGTGGTGCAGATGAGATCAGCAGATTCACTCCTTTTGGTCTCACAGAAGATTTGGTTTCTCTTTTCCAAAGTCTTTTCACTTCAGAGCACCCCAAATCCTCCTGCAGCCTCAGAGACATCAAACTGTAGCCGTTTATGTGCTGAAGTGGGAAATCACTGAGGCACTTGAATATAGAATGGGAAAGCAAAGACATTTGGGCCAGTCTAGCTGGGTGGACAGCTCTCATGGAAAACACTCCCATCTTTCCAGGGGCATTGAGTGGTCTCCTGGCAGCATCTGCATTCCAGCTTATTGACTTGCAGCCTTTTGCTCAGCAAGGGGCTGATTTTCCCCTTCCCTCCCCCCCCCAAAATACAAACCAGATCCTCGTTAAATTCCAGCTCGTTAAATCGCCTTCTCTTCTTCCACTTCCAGATTTTTTAGTGTACAAGTTAGAAGCTCAGGAAGCTCTCAACAAGGAGAAGGTAGGTGAGGTTCATTCCTCAGGGTGTCTGTGTGATGTTGGTAAATATTTCCTCAGGGCTGGGGGGCCAGGGCTGCTGCCTGGGAGGCACGAAGGTGGGTGTGTGTGTGCACGGTGCAGGGTGAACTTTGGCTGACTCCACTGGGCAAGGCTGCTGGTGGGCGAGGATTTACTTCATCTGAGGGAAAGGCTGCACAATTCTCAACCTGCTCTCCCCATTCTCCCGTGTGTGACAGCCCAGGAGACGATTCCCAGCTCCAGCTGGGGCAGGGAGCCCTGTGCTGCAGCCTGAAGGGAGAATTGCTGCTCCACGGCACAGAAGAGCCCTGGAGAAACTGAATTCAAGACACACCACGGGGAACAGGGAGAAGAAAGACCATGTGGTGTGGGGAAAAGCATATCCATTGTCTTCTGTCTCCGGGGATTGTCAAATGATTTTCACTTGCCTGTGGACTTCTCATTCAGCAGGGAAAAGGACTCTTCAGTGAGGGCTGGGAAGAAATGCATCCCTGGGATACAGTCTGTCACATTCACTTAGGTTATAAGGCTGGGTTTGTTCCTTTCCCAGAGCATCTGCTGATGAGATGCTGGGGAAGGGGAATCGCTTTTAGCCCCTTCATCTGTGGGTCAATGTCAGCCTGTTACAGAAAAACTCAGCCATGAATATCTGATTTTTTTTAATCTGTGCTCATTTGCTGGTGATATTTCATTCCATATTGAGTATTTATCATATAAATTGAACTGGGGGTTAGTTTGCACTTCCATGGTGCTGCTTCGTGGATCAGCCACATTGCTTTAGGGTCCCCAAACGTGTAACCCTGCATGTCCTGGGACAAGCTGCAGCCCCCTCAGGTGCCACTGCTGCCCTGGGGACAAAGCCTTTGGGCACAGGGGGTGGTGACTTTCACCCCTGCTGTGAGGAGATGTTGGTGCTGTGGTGAAAAATGGAACCTTGGGGGCACAAGGGAAAAACCTGATCCTTAGCAAGGCATGAGCAGAGCTGCTGAACTGGTCCAGACCCCTCTGTGGGCACACATAAAATGCTCTCCACTGCTGATTTGTGCCAGCTGAGCTTAGTCTGGCTGCTGTACCCTAGTTACAGAGCTTGCTTTAGGCTCCCTCAATTGCCTAGTGATCCATTTTTTGTTAAATGGTGCAATTTTGGTGTGTAGGCGACAGGCTCAGCTCTGCTGCTCTCTGCCTCCCCCTCAGCTGCTGCCAGCAGAGCTCAGCCTTCAGGGAGGGGGGTTCACTGTGCACAGCTCCTTCAGTGCTGGGCCTGGCCTAGATACAGAGCTGAGGGCTGGGAAAAACTGCTCTGAATGGGAATTAAGAGTGCAGTTAATGAGCTGGTGTGAAAAGGTTCTTTTCCAGCCCCGCACGTTCTGCTGGTCCCCGTCCCCACCTGTGTGTGTGAAGCGGCTGAGCAGGTGCTCTGGTGGGTTTTCCTCCCTGCCTTGGGTTTTTCTGGAATCTAATGGCACTGTTGAATCTCTTTTTTCTTTTTTTTTTTTCCTTTTTTTCCCCAGCAAGACTCCATGAACAGATACGGGGCCCTCAGCTCCCAGCACAAGATCCTGAAGGTAAGGGAGGAGGCTGGGTCATGGACTGACCATCTGCTGCACATTAAAGGATGCTCCTGGGAAGGAGAGTCCTAGCAGGGACCCAGGGCTTCCTGCAGTCAGTGCCAGCAGGGAGGGAGGAGACCACTCCGTGTTGATCTACATTCCTTCCTGACTGTTCAGGTCCAAGGGAGTTTCCTATTTATTCTGTATCAGGTTACAGCTTTCACCTACACTTCCATTCAATGGCAGCCTTTGTGCACTTTATCACACAGGATTCTGCTGGTCAGCCTGCTCCTTTCTGGGTCCCTTAGTGCGAAAATGGGTCTATTCATTGTAGCTGGCCCTTTGGGCTAATACAACATATTCCAGCCCATGTGAGAAGCTCAGAGCAGGGCAGCTTATAGCATTTTATAGCTTATCACGTGCTATACCTGGAGCATATCTTGATGTTAAATTTTCCTGTTGTTAGAGCAACACAACCGGGGCTGGCAATGGTGGTTTCTAAGGTTTTTAGTTGGAGCTTTGGCAGTGAAATGGTAATTTAATTCTGGGCTGCAGAAGGAGGGCTGGGTTCCAGCAGCCCTTAGCACCGCTGGGTTGTATTTCCTGAGCAGAGCTGGACCTCCAGCTGCCTGGCTTTTGGATTCAAACTTCGGGAAAAGGGAAGTACAGTTCTGTCTCTTGGGTATTATCCAGCACTGTGGACTCTGGGAACGCTTTGCAATAGCAACATTCCTCTTCATAGCAACTGCTAAGGCTGAGCAAAATGCTCTGGTTTGCTGCTCTCGAGGGGACAGGGAGAGCATTTCGTCCTGGCTCCCTTTCTCTTGCTTCCTTTTATTGGAGGGGTGGGGAAAAAAAAAAACACACCTATTTTTTTTTTTTAAATTACATTTACAGCTGCTGAAAGACAGAGCAGCCCTTGGGGCTGCAGAGTGGGAGATTTCAACCCCCCCACACCCTGAAAAAGCAGCATTTAGCCCAGCTTCTGCTAGTTATGAGCCTGTGAGCAACACTTCTGTTACTGGAGCCCAGGCAAAAATGCTTCCCACTGGAATTGGCTTCCTCAGGAGGAAGATTGCTGCCAGGATATCGTTCCTTAGGAAGTGGACATGTCACGCTGAACAGAAGCAACTAATTCTGCTAAGCTGCAGGTCCCAAATGTAACGAAAGCCACAGTACATCTGGCTTTGGTGTCCCTGGCCTCTGCTCTTCTCCTGACCTGCACTGGAATCCTCCCTGGCTGATTTACATCTGGAGCTGGCACAGCAGCTTGGAGGGGCAAGGGCCTTGACTTGGTCCAAAAATAGCAGTTGTGGTCATTGCCTGTGTTGTCTGGATTCCTGCTGGGGCCAGACTTTGTCTCACAATTCCTTTCTCCCTCTTGAGTGGAGATGAAAGCATTTTGCTCCCCTCACTCTGCAGAGTGCATCCTGGCATTCACTGGAGCAGCCAGGCAAGGAGGGGGTGGCTTCAAACAAAGGAATTTTTGACATGAACTTCCTGAAACTGCTGGAACATGAAAACTGGCAACGAGCTGTGCCCTTCCTTTGCTTGTGGGTTAAGGCATCCACTTACTGATTACACTTTGTACAATGCTGTCCACAGAGCTGCTTTTGAATCCTGGTAGGAATACCTGGGTTTGAGGGACTGTTCTTTTCTTCTCCCCCTTCACCTGCCCATTCCCCAGAAACCTCAGTGCCACAGATCTGACACATTTGGGCACTACCTGTTGCCTGAACAACAAAGGGAAGGTGGGATGAGAGAACCTGCTGTCCCGAGTTCCTGCAGCTGAGCTGAAGAACTCCCAATTTTTGGAGGATGATCTGACTTCTGAGTGATAAGATTTCCCCATATTGCAGTGTGAGCACCAGAGAAAAGCCATGACAACGTGATCTCTGTATTCCCTCAGCCCAGCTGCCTCTGGGCATGATCTGCACAACACCCATGTGCTCTGTCCTGTGGTTTCTGCTTGGCTGAGTAGAACAGCAGAACTGTGAGGGAGAGGAGGGAATGGCATTGCAGCCAGGTGGGAAGACAGTAGAGGTTCCTGGGTTCCTCAGGATACCTGGCCTTAGTGGAACTGCCTGGGTCAGGAATGTTCTGCCCACAGGTAATTAAATTGCTTCCCTGAAAAACAGTTTAGTGTGTTCCAGACTTTCTGCCTGAAAATAACAACAAAGGCATCTTTGGATTCCTCCTCAGGTCTGCACACACTGGTCCCACCACCCTCAGAAAGCAGCTGAGAGGGAGGATGCTCCATGTGCTCAACAAGGAGGCAGCCTCAGGTGCTGCCTGTGACCTTGGGCAAGGCACTCATCTCCCTCTCCAGCTTCCTGCTGCTGTCAGAGGATGAACATTCCCTCCCTTTTTCCTGCCTGGGAGCAGTCTGGGGACACATATTATGCACATCACCTTCCAGGCAGAATATGGGTTAGGAATTAATTGACCTGAGCTCATGAGGACTTAAAATTCCTTGAATTTCTTAAGAGTTTCTTGTTCAAATCAATCCTCAGTTGCTACTGTTGGTGGTTTCTGATGTGTTTAGTATCAAAATGATTTTAAGGAAGTGGTTTCTCTGCAGAGCTTTCTGCCAGGGGCTCTGATGAGAACTGCAAGTGCCTAATGCCTGTGAAAATCAAAGCAGGAATCTTCTGTGCTCTTTATTTCCCCCTCTAGATCTTGTGATCTGATTAACCTGACATCCTTGTGTCTCTACTTTATCCTGGCTCTGGGACCCCTCTGCACCAACAACCTTTTCCTCTGCATCACGTGTATTTTTGGAGCACAGCTATATCTCTTTTTAGTGGAGGATAATTGCTTCAGGGGGAATGCCTGGGCCACAGACACTTTGTTTTCCTGGGGATAAATACAATCATCAATAGCATTTAGAGGTTTGGGGTTTTTAGAAAACAAAAAAAAAAGAAAAAAGATTTATTTTTTTTTCCCCAGGAAGGCTGATTGAAATGACTGCCTGGACTCCTGAGGGGGAGGGGGGTTGTGTGGCAGGGCCGGGGTTCACCTGAGAGCCAGTCAATCTGCATACTTAATCGGTGTTGACAAACTGAATGTGGAAGGAATCTCTCAGGGTTACCATGGGAACAAACAAAAAAAAAAAAAAAAAAGGAGGTGAATTCTGGTTCAGCGGGTCTGAGCAAAAGGATGTTTCTGCATGTTTTGTTCTTGGGCCCTGCAAGAGGGGAGGGGAGAAGGGAACAGCTTTTCAGCCCACCTCTATCTGCTGAGTTCTTGGCCTGCTTGAAACAGTCTGTGGTCTTGGGAGAGTCTTGTTATCCTGGAATTCGATGCCTGTGATCCCCGTGTTACTGAGGGGAATGTGGGCTCTCTCTGGTCCCTGTCAGAGGATGTGGTGTCCTTGCACAAGCTCTCCCTGCTCCATGGGAACTATCCTTGCAGGTAAAGTCCTTCAGCATGTCTGGGGTTCTGGAGAGGACCTTGGATTTGTGAAGTACTTGGATTTGTGTGCAGGGAGGCTGGGAAGGAGCACGAGTAGTTCCTGTGTCCAGAGCCTCCACCTCTTCCAGGCAGGAGTGGACTTGCCATAACATTCCACTTCCAGTTTAGTGGCTTCCAAGGAGACCTCCCAAACTGCTTCCTGAGGTGGAGTTTAGCTGGCATTTCACATCCCCCCCGAACCACTGGACACAGGGAATACCTGCCCGTGCCTGGGATTTCTGAGAACAAACATCTCCTGCCTCCCCAGGCAACTTGTTAGACAGGGGCACTCAGGGAGCACTTGGCAGCAGCTGAATCACTGCTCTCCCTGTGCTGACTCTGTCACTTCTCTCGTACCCAGAACCAGCACGACGATGTCAAGAAGCAGCTGCTTGACCTGCAGGTGCAGCACAACAGCCTGAAGCTGGAACACCGCAAGACACTGGAGAGCCACAGCCAGAAATACACCCAGCTGCAGCAGGAGAAGGACAGCGAGGTCACCAGCCTGCAGGGTGAGCGTGCTGGGGGAGCACCAGGCTGAAGGGCTGAGCTCAGGGCAGGGCAGAGGTTCCTCTGCAGGTCCCCAAAAGGGTCTGTGAACACTCCAGGGACATCCCTGTGTGACAGTGGGCAGCCCTTCTGGACCTCAGCTGGAGCATTGTCCTGCCCTGAGTTGTGGTGCAGGAACAACCTGCAAATCCTGGCATTTGAACCTGGGAGCAAATCAAACACACTTTTTGCAATTGATGTTGTGGGTCTATAAAATGCCTTTAATGGTGCAAGTATCGTAGACAATGCTGATCCCTTTAATTCCCAAAGAGTGTTTTCTATTTAGTCTGCTGTTTAATTACATCGTGGGGCTTTTAAAGTTTGCATCTGTTTTTACTTGATTAGGTCTGGAAAAGCGAAATCTGATGATGTTTGTTTGTTTTTTTTCCTCTGGTCAACAAAGCCCACTGGAGTATCTGATGAGCACTCCTGGGCTAGAAGAGTGGAAACTGAGGATAAATAAGTGAAACCCAAATATTTGATTGTCTCTCTTCCTGAAATCCTCAGCCCCCACTGCTCAGGGCTGCCAGAGTGGAATGGAGGGATTTTTGCTAGATTGGCTCTTTTGGAGGCTCTTTTGGGGGAGTGTCTGTCATGGTCAGAGGTCTTGGCAGCAGCATCTGTGCTTGCTGTCACCTGGCCTGGACCAGCTGCCTGCAAACACAAGGTAACAGGTAAAGCTGGAGTCCCATAGGACACAATTCCATATTTCCTTCTGGCTGCAGGAAAGACAGAGCCTTCCCTTCTCAGTTTGATGTCGACCTTCGCTGCAAGGCAGGGGCACAGCACCCAACCTCAGTGGTAGAATGTCCTGTCCCAGGGCTGAGTATTACGAAGAGAAGATATACCACTGTAATCAGAAATATCTCTAATATTGAGCTGAAACCTTGTGTGCAACTCAGCCCACAACAAAGGGCTGAATTCCCTTCCCAGTCCATGGTGGCAGGTGCAGCTGTGTTTGCAGAGAAATCCCAGTGCATGATGTTCTGGTGATGATTTAAGAGAGATTCAGGAACCGAAACAGGGCTGACATTTTTGGACACAGTCTTTGTTTCACACTGGAGGGTGCAGGATTATGTCCAAGGCAGTGAAACGTCAGTACACTGCGTGTCTTGTCACCGAAGCACTCAGGAGCGTGCAAAGAGCTTGAAAAAGCTCAACCCCAGGGGGCTTCAGGGCACAATGTTACTTAAAATCCCAGGAATAGCCACGCCTGAGGGCAGAGCTGTGCCATGATTGCTTTCTGTGAGCAGGTCGTGGGTATTTTGTTCGTGCCATCAAGAGGCAGCTTCTCTCTGAAGGAGGAGGGAAGCCCCTTATCACATCTTGGGGGTTCAGGAGACCTGAGGGACCTCCCCTGTGGTTGTTTCTTAACCTTCCAGTCACCACGGGCAGGGCCAGTGAGTGCTGCTCTTCAGCTGCAAGGGAGGTGAGAAATGAGGAAGCAAATATCTTGCTCTTGAAGCAAGCACAGGGAGAGCCTGACCCTGAGAGCAGTGGTTAGCAGAGGCTCTGGAGAGAAGGGTGTTCCTTGGAGTGCTGGAAGGAATGATGGATCGGGTTTGTCCATCTCTGGCTCGTGCTTTGCTGTAATTCCTGGGCTTGGAGAGATCTGTGAGGTCCAGGCTAATTTACAGTGAGAAAGGGAGATACCACACTGGCAAAAATAGCTCTTTGAATCAAATTTCTTCTCCTCCTGCAGATACAGTGTTTAAACTCAGGGAGGAGAGCAAGCTCCTTCGGAAGGCCCACCAGGAGGTTCATTCCCAGCTCCTTAATGCCCAGGTAACAAACCAGGGGCTCTTTGTGGGACCCTGGGGTCTGCATGCACATCAAATATTCTCTAATTAGTAAGTCTTATCAGCTGTATTCCACTGCTGACAGGTGTTGGTAATGTAGATCCATACAAGTAAAATTTTCCACCCTGGAGTCTGTCCCAGCAGCTGAAAATCCAGGTAGTGCTGCACAAGTCCCTGGGGTTCAAGGCAGCATGAACCAGCATATTCCCAACCCTGGAATGCCTCCTGTCACCTCCACACATCTCAAGCACTTCCAAATGATGGTGGATTGTCTTTGTTTATGCCTATTAAATTAATTACAGAGAGAAACAGCAGCTCAGAGGGGCCTTGTCTGGTTTGCTGACCCCCTTAACAGGCTTTGGATGAGCACGAGCTTTGCATCCATCTGAGTTGTTCTGACTGGGAGCAGCATCCTACAAGTTCATATCCCAGGAACTGCTCTTGGCTGCCTTCTTCTCATTCCTTTTACATTAGCTGCGCTGTCGGGGTTTGTTTTGTTGTTTTAAATGTTAATTTTAAGGTCAGATTTCAGGGGGAGGAACTGAAATCAACAGAGCCCGCTCAGGAATTAATTTCCTGCTAAACTTTCCTTGCTGCTTGGAAGCTTTCCTACTCAGCCCTGTCCCTAATTTGGTCCATTTCCAGGTACCCTGGCAAGCACATGAAAAGGTCTCCCCCCTCACTTTTCTATAAATAACCAGGGTGGAAGTGGGGAGCTTTTCCTGAGTGGCTTTTTCAAGCCCTACTTTTCAGGGTTGGAGCTGAAAGAAATAAGCTGCAGGAGAGAGAGAAAAAGTGTTGCATTTGCTTACCAGTCCAGGAGAATTGATTTTTCATTTGTCTTGCAAAGTAAATTGGATTGTCAAGTTGGATTATACCAATTATTGCCAGGCCTGCTGAGATGAGCACATCCAGGGAGAAATGCTGCAACTGGAAGGAAATAAGTTGACCTGGAGGTATGTGAGTGTGAGGCACAGGAGGAGAGGGAGGCACAACTAAGACCCAGGGTACAATTCTTGTGCCAAGGCAGGAGTTACAGCAGTGGCTCATGCACTGAACAGCATCAGGAAAAGCACCAGTGTCACAGCTCAGCACTTTCCAGGGTAAAAGTGTCCAATAAGATGCAAGACTGGCAAAGGGGAAATACAAAATATCCATGAAATCTGGAGGGAAAGCTGAAAACAAGCTTGTCATTAATGGTTGTGTGTTTTCTCCAACCTTTCCTACGTATGAAACACATCTCTTTAGAGTCCATCTGTGCCAGACAAATGGCCACAAAGGGTGGCTGATCCCAGCAAGGAGGTGCTTAACCCTGTTACTGTGGGAGGTTTCTCTGTGTCCTTCTCACCCCCTCAGGCCCAGATGGAAGAGTTCAGGCAGCTCAAGGAAGCTCTACAGAAGATGCCAGGCTTCAGAGGAGGAGGAGGAGGAGGAGCTGGGAAGGGGCAGCAGCCTGTGGTGCCAGCCCACAGCCAGCTGCAGCTGGGGAGGCAGAAGGTGTGGTATTCCCAGGAAACCCCTGGTAGGAGTGTTCTGCAGGGCTCCTGTGGGTTTCCAGCACGGGGAACAAGCCCAGTTCCGTCCAGCTCAGAGTTTGCCTTTGTCCTTTCTTCCTTGCAGGGTTTTCCAGTCAATCCAGAGAATGGGGTCCCTCTGGCATCCCCGATCTCGGGGTTCCAGAGGCCGGTGGAAGTCCCGGTGCTGCAGGGACAGAACTCCTACAGCAAGGATGGCCCGAGGCCACAGCCAAACGTGCCCTTAACCCACCCCACCCCACCCCAGGATGCCAACTCACTGCCAGAGGCTGTGCCAGCCTGGCCAGCGCGCCGTGGGGACGGGCACGTGGTGAGGTTCACCCGGACCATGAACAGCCTCCCAAACGGGAACCCCGTACGTTCCTGGGGCTTTGCTTGGGAAGCTCAGGACTCAGATAGCTGCAGTGCTCTGTGTGTATGTGAATCCCGCAGCCCTGGGGTACTTTCAGACTCCTGTGCACTTGTGGTTTCCCCACCAGGCTCAGGGGAGTGGATGAGGTTCTTCTGCCAGAGCTGCAAAGAGTAAATCATAAAATCAGGCTCCCCCCGCCCCCTGGGCTGATTGAGAGTGACTTCAGGACAGTAAATATCTAAAAAAAGACAATAAATTGCAGTGTGGCTAGACTATAATTACAGTAACTATTATAAGGATGTGAGGTGGGGGGTTTAGAGGTGGTTTTGTTCCTCTTTCCTTGGAGATTCACCTACCTGAGACAGGCCTGGCTCAAACAGGACCTAAATTATTTCCTTTTGTCTTGGAAGGAGAAGGGCCTGTTCTACTGCAGGCTGGACAGGGCTGTAGGTTTGTTCTGGAGCACTTCTGAATCTTTGTTCTCTGATAAGGGATTTTCTGGCCCATAAACCTGCCCAAATGCAAGATCTGGGGGTATGTGGTAAGATTAGGCTCTCGTGCACATCCCAAGTTGTCTCCTCTCCAGGACGTGAAGATGGTGATGCGCATCCAGGTGAGGAGCCACGAGGAAAGCCAAGCTCCTGGGCTGGCCCTGCCTGGTCCCAGACAACCCTCTGCAGCAGGAAAACCTCCAGTTCCAGACAGCCACCTCTCCCCAGGGAACAGACAGGGGCAAATGCAAAGGTTGGTGGCACACAACTCCCTTTTGCTCTCAAAGTTTAGGCTGAAGGTTCCAAACAGAGGTATCCCTGGTCTCTCTCTTCTTGTGTTTATCGTGGGTCTACATGAAAGGTGGTTGAAGGAACAACCTTCCCTTGGGGTGTTACTGGTGTTGTCTGGTCAGGATCCTGTTGTACTGGATGCTGTAAGGCACTGGGGAGACTGTTCACTGTCTCAGCAGCACTTGCAGGAGATTGGTTTGTTTTGCAAAAGGAAAAAAATGTCTCTCTGCAGCTGCAATTCATCAAAGTCTGGCCATAATCCAAAAAGGGACTCTGAAAATAGTGCTTCCTCCTTTAACTTATTTATCTCCTGTCTGTGTCCAGGTCCTATCTGTTCAGTTTACTGGAGCAAACAGGATTTCATGTCTGTTTTATCTGTAGAGGAAGCTTCTGGATTTCACTCTAGATTCAGCCTGACCCTTTCTGCTCTTCTATTTTTTGTTTGTTCACTTAACCTGTAACCTTCCCAGGGCAGTGATTGTGCTTTTCTTCCTCCTTCAAATGGCAATGTCCTCCCCAGGCTGCTGTGGCAGACACAGGAGTTGTGCCCAGGGGATGTTCTTGTTCAGGGAGGGACTGGTGTGGGTGTCACTGAGGGTGAGGTGGTGGTGGCACAATGGCCTTTCCTCAGCCATGCAGAGCCCAGCCAGGTTACCATCACTCTGTGAGACTGAAAATGCAAACACTGACGTGTTTGGCAAGTGCTTTTTCGGTGAGGACAGAGGTCCTGGCATGTTTGGTGTGCTTTGCTTTTCCTGGATCTGTCATCAAGGAATTACAGAGCAGCTGGAGGCTGTTGTTTGCACTGTGGGAGATCTGTGATAAGCAGCACATAACCCAACCTTGTCCATGCCAAGAGCAATAAGGGACCTCAGGACAGCACAAAGAGCCCACAGATCCAAGGCCAGGAACTGCTGCCTTGTGTGGCTGAGGTTCCACGTGAGCCCTTGAGGGGCAGTTTGCATTTTGATGGTTTTATAAGGGGGGGAATCTGAGCTGAGGGCTGGGTTAGGATTTTACTTACTGAAGGTTTTGTGTGCTGGCTTAAAAAGCTGCTAAAGCCAAGGCCACTTGTCCTTTCTCAGCTTTTAAACACAGAAATATTCTTAAGCAGACTTTTAAATCTCATGCAGAGGACAGGTTAAACCAACCAGTTGTTCTTCTTGGGACTGCTGTAACTCACCCAGGTTAAAAGGTTTTGTTCAGTCATGTTTCAGAGTCCCTATTACTGGGACTACATCCCTTCCTCTACCCTTCTTTGCTTCTGAAGCTGTCCCTGAGGAAGGATATTTGGTAAGAAATCATTCCTTGTGAGACAGCCCTGCCTTCTGGGCTTTCCCAGGGATTCACTCAAATTAATATGAAGATATTCAATTTTTTTGCTTTGACCTCAAACTACTTTCCATGCAGTGGAAATGGAACATTTTCACTGTTTGGGTTTGTACAGGGGCAGATGCATCCTATGCAAGAGTTTTATGAACAGGTGCTGGTTAAAATATCCATCCCAGTTGCAAAGCTTTGTATTGCAGTTTTCCTCTTTATTTTGAAAGGGTTTTTTTTCTCCTTGTAGCCAAAATTCTACAGTTTTACTTCAGCAGCATCTCGATTTTCAATTAAGTTGGAACAATAAAGACCACTTATGGTTTTGATATTTTCTAAACCCTTAGATTTGTTTATTTGGGTATATGTGAGGCATGACTAAGAATCTGTTTAGAACTGGAGTTTGTTACCATGTAGATGTTATTGTATCATATGAATAATAGTAAGAGAGCTCACAATAAATTGTGTTTATGAAGCATAACTGCTTTTGTGCTATGTGGCATGTTAAATGTTCTCTTTCAAGCAGATATCACAGCAATTAATACAATCTGCCAGTTTTGTCAAAAGGTTAAATTATGACAAAATTCTGTGTGTGTTGGAGTATTTTTTTTTTCTCTGCTTGCCATTATGAAATAGCTTTATGAAATATCTCCTGGTGCACTGAGGCAGGGAGTTCATGTTTTGTTCCATACCCTCGTTGCAGCTGGAAAGACATAGTGAACAAGGTGAATGCCCAGATGGACGAAGAACAAGCACGTGGTTACCCAAAGAACCTCCAGTTTGAGCCCCAGCCTGGGCAGGAGGTGCAGAGGGGCAGCTCCCAGGCCCCCAGCCAGGGGAGAGGGGAAGAGCATCACAGAGCTGAGCAAGGAGGAGAGAAGGAGAGGATGGATGAGGAAGAGCTGGAAATGGGTATGGTTTCCCTCATGGCACTGGAGGAGCATTTCTCTGTAAACACAGAGTGTTGGCTGCCTCAAATCCCTGCTTGGCACAAAGTTAAGACACTGGTGACACTGAGTTTGAGACACCACTGACTGTGCCTGTTCCTTGCAGATGCAGGAGTGATTGAGAGGGAGGAGAACTTGCACCCTCAGAAAGAGACTGTTGTCCAGGAGCCAATGGTAAGGAATGGTAGAGTGATAAAATCACAGGGTGGTTTAGGTTGGAAAGGACCTTAAAGATCATCTCATTCTAACCCCCTGCCGTGGGCAGGGACACCTTCCACTAGACCAGGTTGCTCAGGGCCCCATCCCACCTGGCCTTGGAAAATAGTGGTGCCACTTGTCATCTGGATGAACCTCCAGCTTGGAATGAGAGTCCAATAAGTCAATAATTACCCAGAAGTTTCTATAATGTAGAACTCCAAACACCCAGGATCTGGAGGGATTCAGAGGGATAACAAAGGCTGGGGGCTTTGTTTTTACAAACACTACCAGGCTTGGGGAGACATGACTAAGTGCTGCAAGCCAACACTCTGCTTGCTGGGAAGGCATCAAGCCTTCTGCCTCCTGAGGGGACATCCTGCCAGGTACTCACAGGAGGCTTTTCTTGTCCAGATGCCAGATGATGCTGCAGATCCTGCCCAGGATCCCAATAACCAAGGCGAGGATGAGTTTGAGGAAGCTGAGCTGGAGAGACCCGACTTCGAAGAGAAGGCAGGAGGTTTGGAGAAGTTCAAGGAGCCCAGTGTGAAAGAAGAGTCAAAGGAGAAGCCACTGAAGGTGACTGACATGAGGGCAACCAGCAGGGCCGGGGGGGACCCCCAGCTGTGGATGGGGGAGGCAGAGGGCTTAAGGACTCAAAGGAAAATGTCATGTTCCTAGATGGATCCATAATCCCACTGCCAGGATGTGGCAGGCAGGAGAAACCTCTTTCTGAGTGAGAACTGGCAGGTTGGTCAGTCCCAGAGCTTGTTCTGGCTCTGTCCTCTCTGCTTGTTGAAGTCACCCCTGGCATTTGCAACACCTGCATGGCTGCAGAGACGTGGAATAGGGGATGGCTCACTCACAGCTGCTCCTGCACAGGGGCTGTGGCTTTTCATGCACTCTAGACCAAAGCCAGAGACAATAATGAGTCTCTGCTTTTCTGGTTTCAGGTTCCTGGCAGCAGTGACAACACAAGGGAGCTCTGCCTCCTTGTTTGCCTCCTTGCAGATGGAATCCATTTACTTCCCAAAGTGTTTCTCGCTGCCTGAAGCCAGACTTGGCTTGTTTTGACAAGCAGCTGAGTGTTGCTTGTTTTAAAAAGGAGTGTTTTTTCTGTCAGGCTTTAAAATCATGATTAATAGTGAGATTAAGGAAAAAAAAAAAAAGAGACCTCCAGGCCAATGAAATCAAACAAGAGAGAGATGCTGGCACCGAGAGAGTAACACCTTGAGATTAGTGAAAATGTGGAAAGAATTAGTGACATCAATACCTGGCTCTCAGATGGGGCTGTGCTGTGTTCCCTAAATAACTCACAGATTCCTGCAGTCCTGGGACTTGAGGCAACGGCCCTGGGACCCTCCTGCTGCAGGAGAAACCTCTCTCCACAGTGGAAGGAGCTGGGAAGAGAGACTGGATGGAGGAAGCACACAGAGTTTGTGTTGTCTGACTGTCTCTTTGCTCCCCCTGATTCCTGGTGCAGCTCAGTCTTCCAGACCTGGGGCTCCAATGCCAGAGGGCTGTGTCCCTGGCAGGGAATGGGAGCAGGCTGGGGCACTCTCAACAGTGTCTGACTGTATTTTGCAGGATGCTGGTAGACCTGCCAAGCCCAGGGAAGACCCAATGGATGACTATCAAGAAGATCAGGAGCAAGAAATTGTACGACACCAAGGTTCTCCCCCTTTCCCTCTCTGGTGTGGTTGTTACCTGGGAGTGTTGGGAGCCAGGAGCTGGGGAGGACTCAGCTTTTAGGGAGCCAGATGTGAGCACTGGCTTCAGATTTGCCTCTGCCTGCCCAGTGAGGTGGATCTCCAGAACAACCCTGGGGCCCACCTTCCTCTGCTCCCTTTTTCAGGGGTTCAGAGTACCCTTTATGTTGTCTCCCCTCCTCATTTCTGTCTGCATCCAGGCTGTGGGATGCTTCCCAAACAGGAGCTGAGGGGAATTACAGGCTGTGCCAGTGCTACTGGGCAAGATCCCTGTGTTTCTCCAAGCATGAGCTGGAGAGGATCATCCGGAAGGCTTCTGGCTCACGTAGAGAGAAATGAGGGATCCTCTTCCAGTTTCATTCATCCCCTCTTTACCCTTTTTTGAGTGGCTCCTTTGGAGTTTTTTTCCTGCAGTTTCAACATGATTGCTGAGGAATTGAGGGCTTGGGCTGCCTGCTGGGAATGAAGAGAGTGGGGAAATAAGGGGTGGGCAGAGCAGAGTTGGTGTCAGGAGGTTTCCTTTTCCTGTGTGTATCCAGGCCTCTTGTAGGCTCTACACTGGATAGTTGGACCTAAAAGTGTCCCTGGAGGCTGTGCTGGCTGCTGCTTATCACAGGTGGGATTTGGGACACAGTTTTCCATGTGGTGGATATAGAGTATCTTCTACAGTGGCAGGAGGCTGAGATGTTAAAGTTGCATTGGAATGCCAGGACATTAAATGTGCTTAAAACAAACAGGCTGATCATGGCAACACCTCTGTCTTGGCTAAGTGACTTGCCAACCACACCTGGCAGAGGTGGAGTCTTCCCTTTTTTTCCCAAGTTTCTGAGCTGGGCTGGTGTGGTAGCACAGCTGTACTGGGAAGCAGCACAGTGTGCTGCCAGTCGGGGTCTCCTTTTCCAGGCCTTGCTGATTTTCCCCTCCTGGCTGTTCCCTCTGCACCCAGGAGGATCATGGAGGTGAGGTGGATGACAACGATGACCTGGAGCTTGTCCAAGAGCGGAAGGACCGTGTGGGCCTGCAGGGAGCTGGTGGCAAGAAGGACGACTACTACTGAGAGATGCTGAAGGAAAATGGGATACTCTCGGAATGAGGGGACGGGAGCTCCTCCTGGGAACTGGCTCCTGTATTAAACACTGCCCAGAACAAAGGCAGGAGGAGGTAACTCTTGCAGGCCCTGAGCAGGGGCCTTGTAGACATGCATTACATCTCTGTGTGGGGGCCGTTGGCTCTCCGGTCGATGGCATGGAAGTGCTCCCAGACTGTAGGAACGATTTTATCCTGCTGCTTTTCTTAGAAGCACTTTTTGATTTACTGTGTTCTTCACCTTCTTGTTTTCCATATCCCCTCCACAGCTGGAGAGGGGGTTTTTTGTTGGGTTTTGGGGGTATTTTACCCCCCTGGGCAGCAGAGAGGTGCCTGAACCGGTCCCTGGACTTACTCAACTGATTGCTAATACAAAGGAATCTCTCTTCATAAAACATTTTGCTCAGTGGTGTTTCTTTAACACAGCCTTTTTGCTCCCCTCAGAGTAAGGTGGGAAGGGAGTCAGAGGAAATTATCCTGCTCTTTGTGTGGAGCAGTGCAGGGGTGATAACCAACCCTGAGCTCCCACAGACATGACTGTGTACTAGCAGTGTATGTGTGTGTGTGTGTGTGTGAACAGCTGGATCCTCTTCCTGGTGCAGAGACCTCCCAGTGACTCAGAGGAGAACCCTTTGGAGTTCTCCTTTCCTTGGATTTGAGCCATGACTGTCCTGCTGGGCTTGGAGCCTCCCCATCTAATGCTGTGCATCCTGGCCTGGCAGAGCTGCTGCTCCCTGGGTTCCTGAAGGTGTGGGCTGGCCTGCACTAAGACAGGCTCTTCTGTGGTGGTGCCAGGGACTGCCATGCAAAGAAATGGGAAAGAAGGAATATTTGCAGCCCAACTAATGCAATTCCATCCTGTTCAGCTCATTTCCAGTCTCCCAACACCTGACAGGGAGCTAAGGTCAATTTTGCGTCTTCTAGACAGGTTTTAATCAGCAAGTTGGGTATTTCTAGTGTTCTGTTGATGCAGTAGATTGAAATCTGTGGTGCTTTACTTGATCTCCGAAAGACATCTTCCCTGATCTCAGGTAGAAAGAAGGAATGAGTCAGCTGGAGTCTCCGGGATTTAAGGAGGCAGCTGAAAGGAGAGTGGGCTTAATCATGATATCTCAAAGCCCAGGACCTGTTTTAGTCATCCTACCAGGGCAGAACTGTCACATTCCCTGCCTTGTGCAAGAACTATGTGTCTGAGCTGTCTCCTGCTTCCTCATCCCCACTTGGAAGTCCTGGACTCTGGGACATCACTCACCAAATGAATGGTTTAAATGTGGTCACCTGGTAAAAGATCAGAGGAGAGATCTTTGTTCTCTATTTGGATTAGTTAAGCTTTTTTTAATCCCTTGTTTGGGGCATATTTGGTAAGCACTTTTAGACACTTGGGAGAACAGTATTTATTTCCCAATAAGCTCAGTCTTTTTCATTCTGATGGTATTGATTTTTTTTTTCCTTCCACTGGTTGTAATGAAGCTTGAAATTTACACTTCATAGGTCTTTTTGGTTCTTCAGTTTTTATTCTGCTTGTGTTTCCCAGCAGCATGATCAGCTGTGCAAGTCCAGCTCTGGGGTAGAGTGGAGTGGTCAGAATAAGCAAAGGTGCCAGAGGCAGAAGAGCAGTCAGTGGCAGCTCCAGGGAGCCTAGGAAATGATCTATTAGCCAAGTGCCACCCATGTAGCCCACTGAGGAGCTCACTGCAAAGCTACAGGGGCATTTAAGATGTCCAAAATGCCTTGAAATGGTTAATGCTGCCTTGGTTCTTTCTATGCCAGCCCTGCTGTATGATGCAACACTGCTGGGCCCCCAGTGCCTGCTATAAATAGCACATTCAGAACAGATTAGCTGGACTTGCAGTTACTGGTTCAGAGCATCCTGACCAGAAATACCTCCAGTTCTCAGCTGGGCTGCTGAGATGTCATTGTTTCACAGCTCAGTGCAGGATCCATGCCTACACAGACCGTGGCCTGGGTGCCAAACCTTCGTGCCCAGGCTGCCCCAGCGAGGTATTTAGGGCAGCTCTGTGCCTGCTGCAGCTCATTCGCTCCTCTCACGTGCTCCCCGTGGCCTGTGACTGTCAGAGCACGTAAGTTCAGCCCCTGCTGGAAGTGAATCAAGCACTGGAAATAGAAGCCCAGTGGGGGAGAGGCTGCACACTGATTCAGACTGCAGGAGCTCTCTGGATTAGGAGGCAGATTCTCTGCGTTTGCATGTCTAGGATGAGTAATCCTCGAAGTTATGACTTGGAGGGAACTGCAGCAACTCGGGCCTGAATGTAAAGCTCCCTGCTAGGAGGGTGCTTTAGCAACCATATGTCATATGCTGCCCTTAGCTGAGAGCTGAGCATCTCTGCTCTGGGGATTGTCTGCCCTGGCCATATCCAAGACTAAAATTAGTAAGAGTGTTGCATAAATGGTGAGCTGTGGCTGGTTAGTGCTTCCTTGCCTGGCCTACAGCAAGTTGCCCCCATTTTCGTACTAGTTCACTGTTTCTTCTAACAGGAGACAATAAACCCAGCGAAGGAGAACCAGAAAAGCTGAAACCCCGTGGTGCTGGGTCTGTCTGAAGGCCTATAAAGCAAGCTGGGATGCTGCTGGTTTTGACATGTTGCTGGGGTTCACTGCTTACAGCAAATCCTGGTGTTTTGCCTGAGCAGTGAACTCTTGAAGTGATGACATGAGAAGTCCAGGCTGAGTTTTATTGCAGGCTAGGGCACGGAAGAAGGGCTTGGGAAGCAGCTGGATTACTAAGAGAACAAACAATGAGACAAAAGGTTCATATGAAGCCAGCACAGGCAGACTGACCAAGCCAAAGCATGTGGGTTTGCTTGGCTCCTGCATAAATAATTTTTTATGCTCAGAGACACGGTGCAGGGCCAAAGGACACGGGGCAGAAGGTGTAGTTAACCTGTAGCACTGGTACAAATTTTTTGGTGGGTTCAGGGTTTCCATTGCTGTGCCAGCTATTTTCCTTCCCTGTGCCACGTGCCAGACTCTTGGATCTCTCACCACAACTCAAAGTGAATTGCAAAGCACCCTCATAAGCCCCCTCAGAGGCCGGTGCCAGGTCTCTTCCCTGGTCATGGAAATGGTAACAGCTCTGGAGGGCAATCTGCTCTCCGTGGTAGTTGGGAGAAGCACACAAAGTTGAAGGAGGCAAAACTTGCTTGGTTTGGCTCCAGCCGTTTCCTGAACACATTTCTCTGGAAGGGCTTTCAGGTCTTGCATCCAGCTGGGATTCCACAGGTAAGTTTGCCTCAGCCACCAAGAAGTGCCTTCAGCAGCACAGCACCTCTTATTGCTCTGATAGCAGTGTTTTCCAAGGAGAGCAGCCATAACTACAACTTCAGCATCCTTTTCTGTGCTGATCCTATTTTTTTGATTGATACCTCTTGGTATTAAGAGAGATTTCTAACAACTTTTTAAAGGCTAGCAGGCACCCCCATTAAATTTGGATAAAAACTAGATGTGGAAATAACTTATAATACTTGGTATTGTTAAATTAAAGAGTTCATTAAGGACTATATATTTTAAAAGTCCAGTCTTTCTGAAAGGAAGGGGGGTCCCGATGTCAAGATCCTTGAGTTACGTTGTTGTTCAGTGCATCAGAAAATGAAACTATTTAAACAAGTTCCACATTGCTACAAATAACACTTTGTGTGCAAAGTAACACCTTCCATGAAGTGCAAGGTGTGTGATTGGGGTTTTTTCTTTAGGCTGTGAAATAAAAATAGGCTTTGGAACGTTGTTTTTGTTATATTTTTGGCTTATGTAAACTAATAAACACTTCAAGAGAAAACTTACACAGTTAATCTGCAGATCTCATGTTTCCAAACAGGTAACACAGTGAAGAACCACAGCAATGTGTTTAGGCACATTTCTGAGGGTTTTAACCAAGCAATATGACAATTATTCTGTTTCACAAGTTCAATATAGACAAATGCTTACATTTTGCTATACAATCTGGAACAGGACCCTGTGTAAAACCCGATCAAGATACAAACAAAACGAAATGCCACTTTTTCCCCCTGCGACTCGGAAAAGACAGGATTTAAAGGAACTTTTACCAATTTAACTGTTGAAAGGCTCTTCCAACACTGCTTAAGTCTGTATTTTTATCAGTGTTTCATTAGAATGCTTTGGTTTCCATATTTAGACAAGTCTATACGCTCGTGTACATCTTTCAAGGTCGTTCTGAGAGCATTAATTACGGTGTAATGCTGGGATGGAACACTGCTGTCTCCTGCTGTGCTGCACAATCAGCTTGCTGGCTCCAGATCCAAGGGATGGGTTGGGTTTGGTCCTGCTGCAGAGAGAGGAAATGGCATTTGGCAGAAGATAGGAGGAAGAGGAGTATCCTTTTTCCTTCGCTCTCCCATTGTGCACTAAGACCCAGAGCGTTATCACTGCTCTCAGCTGATGTCCTGAGGTGTCTTTGTATTACATCCGTGCTGAGTTTATTTAAATTTCCAGTGCCAAGAGGTTAAAGCAGCCTGGATTAGAAGGTATAACCATTAAAAAAAAAAAAAAAAAAAAAAAGTCTGTGTAACCCCCGTTTCTTTGAGCAAGCTTTGCATCAGCTGGAGGGGAGCTCTGCCACTTCCCACAGCCCTGCCGTGGATCTGCATCCCTCCTGGTGTGAGCCCCTGGGGGGGAAAGAGGGGGCAGAGGCACCTCCCAACCATCCACGTGCACGTTTCTGGGGGGGTTTAGCCATGTAATGGTGATAATTATTGCATTTTTGGGAGTTAGATATCGACAAATGCTTATGTTCTGCTATAAAAACTGAAAGAGGATCCTATGTAAAACCTGATCAAAACACACACACACACACAAAAAGGCAACCCCCCCCCCCCCCCCCCCCAAGGAAGCCAACAAACAAAACCTACATATTTTCTTGGTGTGGAACGAAATCTGCAACTCGGAAGAGGCAGGAGTGAGCAGCGCTTGGAGCCGCGCTCTCCAGCCCCTCGGGGACGCAGCCCCGGGCAGCGGCAGCGGCCGCAGCCGAGCCCGCAGAGCCCGGGGGAGGGAGGGCGGCGGCCGAGCATCCCCCGCGCCGGCCCTTACCCCCCCGTCTCATCCCTCGGGACACCCCGAGCCGGGGGTCCGCGGCCCCGCGGGGCTCCGGAGCGGTGCCGGGGGCGGTGTCCAGCCCCGCAGCCCCGCGTCCGGGCGGTCAGAGGCGGCGCGGCGGGTGCTCCGCAGCCCAGCGAGAGTTAACGGCGGCGCCGCCTCTCCATTGGCGGCCCCGCAGCGGCTGCGGGAGCCCGCGCTTATAACGCGCCGCGTCCGCCCCGCTCCGCGGCCCGGGCTCCATGCGGCGGCCGCCGGCATGCCCGGCATGCCCAGCCTGCTGCCGCCGCTGCTCGCCCTGCTCTGCCTGGGGGCGCGGGGGGCCGA